GTGTTCCTTTTATAGGGTTCATATTGTTTTTTGTTCAGAGTTATCATTAATTAATTTCCACAAACACTGCTAAAACCAGAAAATAACAAGGACCTTCGCTATAATTTTCCAATTATCTGATTACTTATGTATACAACATTGCTAAGAAGGTCTTGTCTACAAGAGGTTCACTGTGAATGTTTGCACATGTTTTCAGTGTTTTATTTTTAATTACAGTTTTACATATATGTGATGCATTCAACAGAGAATTTGAAACAACATATGGCAAGATACATGGTAAATTTTTGAAGGCAGTTGCATATTCCAGTAAACTGAATGCACTGCCAGGAACAGATCTGTTTTAAGAAATGTACCAACAGTAACTAGATGGTAACGTAATCGGGAAAGAAGGGCAAATTTTAAGAGCATTCTCAATGTATCATCACTCAGTTGGAAATCATGGTTCTGTAAAAATATATCAATTAGATGACAATGTGTAGTCTTACATGTATGTATTGGATGTGAAACATGTAGGCAGTCGTGTGTAAACAGCGGGTAATAATATAATTTTTGTTTTATTACAATTTGTGAGTTATTTGACGGTATCATAACTCAGTGTACAATTTTGAATTTAGTATAATTGTTTTATTTAATTATACTTTATTGTAATTGATGTTTGCAGTGAAATTATTATTTTAACAAGAACATTCATTAAAACAATATTCACTGAAATACATGTTATGTTTATGCCAAATGAAGATTTATTGTGCATGTATTATGAAGGATTTGGCATTAGACACTTACTTGGCCCTCCTGGTCCACCTGGTCCACCGGGTCCACCAGGTCCCCCTGGTCCTCCTGGTCCACCTGGTTCACCAGGTTCTGCCATTGCAGGTGTTATTACTACAAACAGATACATATAATGGCTTAAATGAAAGATTTGGTACACTGAGTTACATGTACTATGCAATTATATAATTAAGTTTTTTTATTGTGTATGATATATAGAAGTTTTACCTGTACTCAGTTCAGGTCCGCCTGGTCCACCAGGACCACCAGGACCAAATGGTCCTCCAGGACCACCAGGTCCAAATGGCCCTCCTGGGCCAAAAGGACCACCAGGTCCACCACTTACACCAATATCATCAGGTAGAGTTACACCAGGTGCTAAAGACGGACCATCTGGTCCACCAGGTCCATCAGGTCCTCCAGGTCCACCTGGTCCACCTGGTCCTCCAGGACCTCCAGGTCCTCCAGGACCACCAGGACCCAACGGTCCTAATGGTTCACCAACATTATCCGGAATTTCTAGTTCTTCTTCTGGTGTAGGTGTGGGTCCGCCTGGTCCACCAGGCCCATTTGGTCCACCTGGTCCATTTGGACCTCCAGGTCCATTTGGCCCTCCTGGTCCATTTGGTCCTCCAGGGCCATCAGGCCCACCTGGTCCACCTGGACCTTGTGGGCCCCCTGGGCCACCGGGTCCACCTGGACCTCCTGGTTTTCCCACATCAGGAGGTGTTGTCTCATCTGTAGCAAGGGTTGGTCCTCCCGGCCCTCCTGGTCCTCCAGGGCCCCCTGGTCCACCTGGCCCTCCAGGTCCTCCAGGTCCACCTGGACCAAGTGGCTTCCCAGGATCACCAATGTCTTCTGGATTGACTTCAGGTCCACCTGGTCCGTCAGGCCCATTCGGACCCCCAGGTCCATCTTTACAAAAGACAAGTAATGATTATAACAGTGTGGTATGTATGGTTGTAAAAAAACATGTATTACCTAGTTCATTTGTGCTATTTGTGCTTAATGCAACTAACTATTCAATTAATCAATCATAAACATTTATAAAGTGCCTGAATCCAAAACTAAGTTTTGTTCAAAGGTGCTCAGATAATTATTATTTTTAAATAATTATTCCACAATGTATATTTCTAAATAAGTTGACATCAGTGACCTGATACAAGTCCAATGAAGAGGTGTACCAAAGTTGAGGAGCAGTATGTGAAAAGGCACATCTCTCATATGATTTCAATTGATATTAGGTGGTGCAAAAAAATTTCGTATTGGAATGAAGCTTACGACTGTGTCTAAATAAATTAACGTCACAGATGTATTCATGTATTCAAAGAAATATCTTTATACCTAAACTAAAACACCCATTAAATCTTTACATAATCTTTGTAAAAATTAGCTATTAAAATTGTTTGTAGATATTTGAAACAGAAACAATACATACTTGGCCCTCCTGGTCCATCTGGTCCACCTGGTCCTCCTGGTCCCCCTGGTCCCCCTGGACCACCTGGCTCACCAGGCTCTGCCATTGCAGGTGTTATTACTGCAATAAAATTCAATGATTACTCAATTGTTGTATATTGTGTGTTTACAATGTGCTGTACAGAACAGTAATTTGAAATAAAATATTACTTTACCTGTAGTCAGTTCCGGCCCACCTGGACCTCCAGGTCCACCAGGTCCAAACGGCCCTCCAGGACCTCCAGGTCCAAATGGCCCTCCTGGGCCAAAAGGTCCACCAGGTCCACCACTTACACCGATGTCATCAGGTAAAGTAACTCCAGGAGCCAAAGATGGTCCATCAGGCCCTCCTGGTCCATCAGGTCCACCTGGTCCCCCTGGTCCTCCAGGACCCCCAGGCCCTCCTGGCCCACCAGGTCCACCTGGTCCCA